TGGGTGAGTCAGGGCAGGGTGGGAGGGAGGCTTCCTCTTCCCTGGGTCACATTTGAGTCTGGTACTATGTGGACAGCTTACCCAGAGGAAACCTGTTCCCACAGCACAGTCCATGGCGAGGCTCTGAGAGGGACACGACATGGATTGAGCTCTAGGAAACACTTTCCCAACACTCTGCACACCACAATCACTTTGCTCTCTGTGCTATGGCTACTGCTAATGCTTCAGTTGCTAGTATTAATTTTATATAACCTTAATGAAGATTGTAGCACATACTCAGTGCCAACTGGTTATGTAGTTGGCAAACACAGCTCTAGGAGAAGTGTGAGTCTTTTAAGTAGTGAACATTCTGTATGAGGTTCTCACCCTTCCCTGAGGTCACTGTTCCAATATCCTCTCTCCAAGATGGCTGCTTGGACAGCATCACTTAAAAATGCAGGACACAGGTTACCTCTCTTCCTCTTCACTTTTCTGCTCGCACTTCCAACTTTCTGGCATTCTAAATGCTTCACTTCTTGTAATCTATCTCTTCACTAGGACATAAAAGATTTTGGTCAGGGGCTGATTCTGTGGTGCACTGGGTTAAAGCCCTGGCCTGCTGTGCTGGTGTCCCATATGAGTGTTGGCTTGAGTCCCAGCTGCTCCACTTGCAATCCAGCTCCCTCATAATGCACCTGGGAAAGCAGTAAAGGATGGTCCAAGTCCTTGGGACGCTGCACCTACATGGGAAACCCAGAAAAATTTCTGGCTCCTCGCTTCCTTTTGGCTCAGCTCCATCTGTTGCGGCCAGCTGGGGACTGAACAGCAGATAAAGACCTCTCCTTCTCCCTCTCCATGACTCTGACTTTCAAATAAATAACAATATTTTTTTGAAAGAAGTATTTATCTATTTGAAAGGCAGAATTACAGAGAGGCAGAGGCAGAAATAGAGAGAGGTCTTCTATCCATGGGTTCACCCCCCAGATGGCCCCAATGGCCAGAGCTGAGCCAATCCGAAGCCAGGATCCAGGATGTTCTGCCAGGTGTCCCACACAGGTGCAGGGGCCCAAGGACTTGGGTCAGCTTCCACTGCTTTCCTAGGCCATAGCAGAGAGCTGGGTCAGAAGTAGAGCAGCCAGGACTTGAACCCAAGCTCATATGGGATACCAACACTGCAGGCAGTGGCTTTATCCACTACACCAAAGGCCAACCCCACAAAACAGACCTTTGAAAAACAGATTTTGGTGTGTTTTCTTCATTGCTATACCCCCTCTACCTATGGTGACAGGCACACAGGAAAAGCTCAATCAGTATTTGTTGAATGAATGAATGAATGAATGAAACTTTGGCAATGGAGGTAACAGTCTGTCAGATCAAAGTCTTTAATAGCCTAAGTAGGAATGTAAAATCTCGTCGTTCACAATGTCCATGCAGCTGCCTTAAAAACACATAACCACAATCCACCTGTGTAATGTGAACCTGGGCAAAGGCGACTTCATTTTGTTGGTTCAGGGTCTTTCTTTTCTTTTTTTAAGATTTATTTATTTACTTGAGAGGCAGAGTTACAGAGAGAGGGACAGAGAGACAGAGGTCTTCCATCCACTCGTTCACTCCCCAAATGGCTGCAATGGCCAGAGCTGAGCTGACGGGAAACTAGAAACCAGAAGCTTCTTCCAGGTTTCCCATGTGGGTGAAGGGGCCCAAGGACTTGGGCCATCCTCTGCTTCTTTCCCAGGTGCATCAGCAGGGAGCTGGATCTGGTGCCCACATGGGCTGCAGGTGCCATAGGTTACATACAATAACAATCAGTTATAATGAAGATTTAGTTCTCTTCCTAAAGAAACAGTCTTGTGTTTGAGCTATCATTTTAAGACATGCCAATACAGGGCCAGTGTTGTGGTGGAGTGGGTAAAGACATTGCCTGCAGCTCTGGCATCCCATATGCATGCTGGCTCATGGCCTGGCTGTTCCACTTCTGATACAATTCCCTGGTAATGGACTGCAAAAAGCAGTGGAAGGTGGCCCAAGTACTTGGGGCCATGTGTGAGACCTAGATGAAGCTCCTGACTTCAGCCTGGCCCAGCCCCTGCCACTGTAGCCATCTGGGGAGTGAACCAGCAGATGGAAGATCTCTCCCACTCTCTTTCTCTCTTTCTCCATCTCTGTCTCTCCTTCTCTCTGTGTAAATCTGACTTCCCATAAATAAGTCTTTAAGAGACATGTCGGGCTGGTGCTGTGGTGTAACGGGTTAAGTCACCACCTGCAGTTGTCAGCATCTCATATGGATGCTGGTTTGAGACCCGGGTGCTCCAAATCTGATCCAGCTCTCTGCTATGGCCTGGGAAGGCAGTAGAAGATGGCCCAAGTCCTTGGTCCCTGCACCCATGTGGGAGAGCTGGAAGAAGCTCATGTCTCTTTGGATCAGCATAGTTCCAGGTATTGTGGCCAATCAGGGAGTGAACGAGCAGATGCAAGACCTCCCTCTCTCTCTCTCTGTAACTCTGACTTTCAAATAAATTATTTAATTTTTTAAAAAAAGTTCACAATGTATGACCTCTACCTTGCCCTTGCACGAGCTCTCTAACCCTGCTATAACACAGGATTTGCAGTTCCATGCTGTTCACAACTCTATGCCTTCACCTAGGTGGTGGATCTTCTGTGGGGTCCTCAGAGGTCACTTCTATTCTGTAGTCAGCTGCCCACTGATGGCCTCATGCTGGCTGGCGATTGGGATGGCAGGGTAACCAGACTTGGAGGCTCTCATCAGATAGGCTAACTCGGGCTTGCTTTCCTTGTGGCCTCAGGGTTCTGAAGAGTAGCTGGAGACAGCAAGCTCCAGTACCTAAGCGGTGTCTGAGACCCTGTTGGTTTCACCTTTAGTTGTGTCCCATTAGCCAAAAAAGTTACATGGCCAAGACCAGAGTCAGTCTGGGATGGAACTACAAAGGCTGTGGATAGCAAAAGAGGCCTCCTGACTGTTTAGGTTTTTTGCTTTTTGCTTTTTTTAAAAATTTATTTGACAGGTAGAGTTATAGACAGTGGGAGAGAGAGACAGAGAGAAAGGTCTTCCCTCCATAGGTTCACTCCCCAAATGGCCACTACGGCCGGTGCTGTGCTGATCCAAAGCCAGAAGCCAGGTGCTTCTTCCTGGTCTCCTATGTGAGTTCAGGAGTCCAAGCACTTGGGCCATCCTCTACTGCCCTACTGGGCCACAGCAGAGAGCTGGACTGGAAGAGGAGCAACTGGGACTAGAACCGGGCACCCATATGGGATGCCGGCACCGCAGGTGGAGGATTAACCAAGTGAACCAACAGCTCCAGCCCCATGAACATCTCTGTTCATTCATTCATTCCACAAATTGTATGAATGAAGTTTTTCTGTAAGCAATGCCTAAGACAGGCAGTAAGGCAGAGGTTTTTCCTCAATGCTTGGGATTCATGTTCTAAGGCAGTCAGAGCAGACCACACAAGTCAGACAAGGATTCGTGAAGGTCCCATCAGGCAGGATGGGCCTCAGAAGGCCTCTCTGCATTCTTCCCCACCTCTGCAGAAATCACAACCTCTTTACTCAGGATTACCCATTAGCAACCTCTTCTCCATTAAGAAAAAAAAAAACTTAAAATTTTAAATATTTGCAGTGTGTGTATATATCTTAAAATATATAAGTGAAAAATTACTGTATTTCCTTGGTAAGCTACACAGCCAAGCATGGTATTATGTGATAGCATTTCCACTATCTGAATGTCAAGGGTGAAATTTAGGAGCAGTTAGTCCTCAGTCCCTGAGTTGTTGACTTGTTCGCAGGAATCCATAGCTTCCAGAACTCCAAATTCATACTTGCAAAACTTACATAGCCCCAAAGCCCAAATGAAAATCACTTCAGAAATAGCTTTAGAAAGCTTCTCCATTCTTTATTTGCCTCTTGCAATGTGGTGGAAACAGCACATTGCAAGTCCAGTCTTTCATAAAGACAGGGGTGAGGAATGGAGGTTGCCATTGGTTTTTTCACCAAAGGCACAAGATGAAGTGCATTTGTGAATATTGTGTACTTTTGTTCTATTCTGTGCACCAAAAGCTATCTGTACACCAAAGCTATCTGGTACTGTTTCACCAATGATCTGTATCCAGGACCTGAAAGGAAATTGGCTGTGGAACAGTGAAAGTTTCCTTAAAAATCAGATACAGATGATCACTTCCAAATGCAGTCATGGAATTTTACAAGTGACATTATGACGATCAGCTTTCCAACAGACACCCGGCCTTTTATAAAATGCACATTATCTATGGCCAGCTTTATTACTGCTCCAGAACTGTTGAACTGAAATCGCCTATCTAATTAAACTGAGAAATGTTGGGTGAACTTGAACTGTTTCAGGGACATGAATGACCAGAGAACGTATTTCATATAAACCTATTGTTTCATCATGTGATGGTGAAATTATTTTTAAAATGTTGTGTTCTGAGTACATTAAAAATAAAAGACATCAGGAAGTTATCATATTCTTCACCAATCTCCTTTGCATTTCTGTGTAAACTGAGCAGTGTAAACTATGGTTGGTGCTCAATGAAAACTTTGTGACAAATTTTTTCAATGAAATGGCACACAAAGTGGCATCAGCTGACAGTTCTTTCTTTTAATATGTGTCTGCTGACATTTCAGATAAATTCTGCTTTACTGGGGCACAGCATGTTAAGTTGCCCTCCGTGATGCCAGCTTCTCATATGGGTGCTGGTTCAAGTCCTGGCTGCTCCACTTCTGATCCAGCTCCCTGCTAATGTGCCTGGGAAAGCAGTGGAATATAGCTCAACTGCCTGGGCCCCTGACACCCAGACAGGAGACCTGGGATGAGTTCTGAGTGCCTGGCTGTGGCTTGCTCCAGCTCTGGCTATTTTCTTAAAAGAGGAAAGCCTGTGGTTATGCCCAAATATAACAAAGTGTGTTTGTGTATGATGATGAATGACTCCTGCTCACATGCTGCCCTGCACAGCTACAAAACTGAGGAATTTACCAAGTCAGACCCATGATGTTCCACATAAAAACAATTTTTATTCATGGTAACATATAAATTTCAATTAATCAACCTTAGCAATGGGACTTCTGATGTGTTCAAGCAACTTGAATGCAATAGGTCATGTCCAGGGCAGCCATGCTGAATCAATGTACCTAAGTTTAAAAAAAAAGCAACATCTCCAATAAACATACATACATGTACATGCACACACACATGAATGGACAACTACAGCTATGGCCCATGGGCCAGCAAAAATATGTATTTATTGCTTATGATTCTAGCACAACAAATGTCATTGCATTCCTTCAACTATACTTTTTGAACTCCCCAAGTCTGAACAAAAGAAAAGAAAGTCCCACTGAATAACCACCCTCTCAGGTTCTGTGCTAAGTCAGTAGCATTGTGCAAACCATTCCAGTGGTTTTCAAGAGGGATACCAATGGGTTTGATTTGATTTGCTACAGGGTTTAGTAAAGAGTCATAGTTTAATGGTACAGGACATACCAGAAAAGGCCTTGCCCATGGCCTTGGCCTACTGACTGGAGGTCAAGCACAAGCGCAAGCTCAGGGTATCTGGCTACTGGGGGAGAGGAGTCAGGCCCTGCTGGAACTTTCAGCTAAGCCATGAGCAGCACTTCCACCTCCTTTTTCCCCTGCCCCATGGCAGAGCCAAGAAATGTGGCATTCATTGTCACAGAGCAGGAGGAGACAAAGGCAAGTTCAAGGGAGAAGCATATGCTAGAGATTAGAAAGGAAAGCTGTATATATCCCAGCCAGGGGGACATCAATAACCTATAGATTACATAATCAATGAAGGAATCCCTACCTGGCTTGGCTGCAATTCGATCCTTCACACTCAGGTCTGTTGTGGAAGCTGAGCCAAAGCATTTCAAAAGCAGGAGACACCAGACTTCTAAGATTGGAAAAGACAAGTGAAAATGAGCAGTCAGGTGGTAGCTGAGACACAAGATCAACTCTATACTAAGTAAAGATTTCAACAGTTTGCACCCACACAGACACACAAACTATAAAGACCTGTTTGAACTACTTTTACAGTTAATTCTCATAGCACAACTCATTAAGGACAGAGGATCCTTCATGGGGAGTAAGTACACAGGGACTCTTGTTGATTGAACATTTGGCACTCTTATTTATGATGTCAGTGATCACCTGAGGCTCTTGTCATGAGCTGCCAAGATGGAAGCCTCTTGAGTCCACATACTCTGACATTATTTAGACCAGGCCATAGCAAAGTGGATGTTCTCTCCTCCCTTCAGGGAAAGGTACCTCCTTCTCTGATGGCCCCTTCTTTCCACTGGGATCTCCCTCACAGGGATCTTTCATGTATCTCATTTTTTGCCACAGTGTCTTGGCTTCCCATGCCTGAAATGCTCAGAGCACTTTTCTGCAGCATAGTTTGCTGCCCTAATGTCTCTGTATTTCCTCTTCCTAGGGCCCAGAAACCTAGGGCCATAAGTGGTAGGAAGGTACGCATTAGTTTCTAGGCATACTTGGCACACACACCTGAGTGTGTGCACTGATGAGTCCACTACCCGAGATGGGTAACCCCATGTTGGTGGTGGTGGTGGTGGTGGTGGTGTGTGTGTGTGTGTGTGTGTGTCTTTGTCGGTGGCTTCTTTACTCCCTGAAGTTCCCTCTTCTACACAGAATATTTACGAACTGGGATGGGTGCAGCAACTTTGCCACCAAACAAGAGGCCAGGGAATGGGAGCCCTGCTGAGATGCAGTTCGGCACAGAGAGCAGTTCCTGAGGAGGGCCCAGGGCTGGTGAGGCCCATGCAGGTCCGTGGCCAGCTCCGGCCACTTGGTCATGAGGGAGCCTGGCTGCTTGGCGGCCAGGAGCAGGAAGTTGCTACGCTCTCTGATTCAACCTGCAACCTCTGATGGTGGTGCCTCTGTCTCCGCACCTGCTCCTCCAGGGCAGCCCTGTCAGCCTTCTTCTGTAGGTTCTCCTGCAGCTTCCTGAGCGTGGACAGGTGCAACATCTTCTCTGACAGCCTCCCAGGCTCTCGCCCAGCATCGACCTTCAGGTTCCCTTGAGGTGTCTACTCTCTGGGATGGGCTGTCCCTCCTGGACAGTGACTCCACAATGGAGTAGCAAGTAGAGGTGATCTCTGAGACAGACTGCCACTCATCCCCCAGGGACTCACTGCCTATCTCCAACATGATCTTGCTGATGGAGCTCCTGAGGGGACAAAGTCTGTGTCATGAAGGAGGACCTCAGCTCAGGGGCTGGGTCACCCTTGTCCTCCTGGATACCAGAGCCATGCTGTCAGGTGCCAGCAAGGAGACATCCCCCATCCAGCATGGGCCAGGCAGCTCTGGCTTTTGAGGATAGATGCTATCATCAAGAACAGAAAAATAATAATAGTTGTTAAGTTCACACAGCTAGAAAGTGGTAGAGTTGAGATGTGAACTCAGGCTGTCTGGTTCCAGAGCTACCATGTCACACTGAAATACTGATAGTGGGGGCTGGCACTGTGGTGCACTGGGTAAAAGCAACCACTTGCAATACTGACATCCCATATGGCCAATGGGTCCAGACCCAGCTACTCTGCTTCTGATCCAGCTCCCTGCTAATGTGCCTTGGAAAGCAGTGGTGCTTGACTTGCTGTGCCTATGTGAGAGATACAGAAGTAGCTTCTGACTCCTAGCTTCAGCCTGGCCCAGCCCTGGCCACTGTGGCCATTTGGGGAGTGAATCAGTGGACAGAAGATTCACTTTCACTCTCTGTCTTTTCCTCTGTAAAACCTGATTTTCAAATAAATAAATAACTCTTTAAAAATGATTAAGATTTTGGGGGTGAACCAATGGAAGAAAGACCTTTCTGTCTGTCTCTCTTTCACACTGTTTAACTCTGCCTGTCAAAAAATGATTAAGAGATCAATTCAACAGAAAGATGTAACTATTATAAATGTATATGCACCTAACTACAGGGCACCCGGATATTTAAAAGAAACATGGAGGGATTTAAAGGGAGACTTAGACTTCAAAACACTATGGGGGACTTCAATACTACACTTTCAGCAATGACAGAACAACCAGACGGAAGATCAACAAGGAAACAGCAGATTTAATCAACACTGTAGACCAAATGACCTAACCGATACTTAACAAAACCTTTCCTCCTACAGTTGCAGAATACACATTCTTCTCAGCAGTGCATGGAACTTTCTCTAGGATTGACCACATACTAGGCCATAAAACTCAGCAATTCAAAAATAACAACATCATACCACGCATTTTCTCAGACGACCATGGAATGAAGCTGGAAATCAGCAACTCAGGAATCCCTAGAGCATATGCAAACACATGGATAATGAACAACATGCTCCTAAATGAACCGTGGGTCATAGATGAAATCAAAAGAGAAATCAAAAACTTTCTGGCAGCAAATGAAGATAACACAACATATCAAAACTTATGGAATTTAGCAAAAGCAGTGTTAAGAGGAAAGTTTATAGCAATAGGTGCCTACATCAAGAAATTCGAAAGGCACCAAATAAATGAGCTATCTATGCATCTCAAGGATCTAGAAAAACTACAGCAAACCAAACTAGCAAGAGAAGAGAAATAATTAAAACTAGAGGAGAAACCAACAAAATTGAATCACAAATTGCCAAAGATTGCCAAAATGAAGAGCTGATTTTTTAAAATAATAAAATTGACACACCATTGGCCTAAATAACCAAAAAAAGAGAACAAACAAAATCAATGAAATAGAGATGAAAAAGGGAATGTAACAACAGACACCACAGAAATAAAGAGTCATCAGAAGTTACTACAAAGAGTTGTATGCCAGCAAACAGGGAAATCTATCAGAAGTGGATAGATTCCTGGGCACATACAACCTACCTAAATTGAACCAGGAAGACACAGAAAAGCTAAACAGACCCATAACTGAGACAGAAATTGAAACAGTAATAAAGTCCCTCCCAACAAAGAAAAGCCCAGGACCAGATGCATTCACTGCTGAAATCCGCCAGACATTTAAAGAACTAACTCCAATTCTCAAGCTATTCAAAACAACTGAAAGAGAGGGAATTCTCCCAAATTCTTTGTATGAAGCCAGCATCATCTTAATTCCTAAGCCTGAAAAAGATGCAGCACAGAAAGAGAATTATAGACCAATTTCCCTGAACATAGACACAAAAATTCTCTTTTATTAAGTCTAGCCATAGAATCTAACAACATATCAGAAAGATCATCCACCCATTCCAAGTGGGATTTAACACTGGTATGCAGGGATGGTTCAACATTCGACAATCAATCAATGTGATACACCACATTAACGAACTGCAGAAGAAAAACCATATGATTATTTCAATAGATGCAGAGAAAGCATTTGATAAAATTCAACACCCTTTCATGATGAAAACTCTAAGCAAATTGGGTATAGAAGGAATATTCCTCAACACAATCAAGGCAACTTATCACAAACCCATGGCCAGCATCCTATTGAATGGGGAAAAGTTGGAAGCATTCCCACTAAGATCCGGTGCCAGACAGGGAAACCCACTCTCACCACTGCTATTCAATACAGTACTGGAAGTTTTAGCCACAGACATTAGGCAAGAAAAGGAAATCAAAGGGATACAAGTTGGGAAGGAAGAAGTCAAACTATCCCTATTTGTAGACAATATAATTCTTTATTCAGGGGATCCAAAGAACTCCACTAAGAGACTATTGGAACTCATAGAAGAGTTTGGTAAAGTAGCAGGATATAAAATCAACAGCCTTTGTACACACAGACAATGCCATGGCTGAGAAAGAACTTCTACGATCAATCGCATTCACAATAGCTCCAAAAACAATCAAATACCTTGGAATAATTTAACCAAAGATGTCAAAGTTCTCTACAATGAGAATTACCGGAGGGTGAGGAGGGGCAGAGACCAGAAAATCTGAGATAGCTTTTTTGCCACTTCCTTGAATTTACAAGCAAGGTTTAATTTTCTGTTTATGAATAGACACTTCAGTCAGTTACAGGCTCTGGAGTTTGTTTTTATTCATCAGAATAGGAAAAGATAAAGAGGTATTTGGTTTGGTTACAAGTTTCCCTGTGTGTTCAACTTACTACATCTCCCAAATACCTTTCACAACACTTGTATCACTTCATGGATATGTGCAAATCAGTGGGATAAGGCATGTCCATTGCACCAGTGAGCTCAGGCATGGAAAGCCAAGGCACTGTGGCAAAAATAATGACCTAAATGAAAGATCTCTGTGAGATCCCAGCAGAAAGAATGGGCCATCAAAGAGGTACCTTTCTCTGAAGGGAGGAGAGAACTTCCACTTAGATTATGGTCTTATTTAAATAGGGTCGGAATTTGTGAACTCAAGAGGCTCCCACAAGGCCAGTGCAGTGGCTCACTAGGCTAATCCTCCACCTGCAGTGCCAGTACCCTGGGTTCTAATCCCAGTTGGGGTGACGGATTCTGTCCCAGTTGCTCCTCTTCCAGTCCAGCTCTCTGCTGTGGCCCGGGAAGGCAGTGGAGGATGGCCCAAGTGCTTGGGCCCTGCACCCACATGGGAGACCAGGAGGTAGCACCTGCCTTCTGGCTTTGAATCAGCATAGCACGCTAGCCATGGTGGCCATTTGAGGGGTGAACCAATGGAAGTAAGACCTTTCTCTGTGTGTCTCTCTGTCTAAACTCTGCCCATCAAAAATAAAAATAAAAAGAGAGAGAGAGAGAGAGGCTCCCATAGCCTTGGCAGTTCATGACAAGAGCCTCAAGTGATTACTGACATCATAAATAAGAGTGTCAATTGTTAAATCAACAACAGGAGCCACTGTACACTTGCTCCCCATGTAGGATCTCTGTCCTTAATGTGTTGTACTATGTGAGTTAATGGTAAAATGAATCTTCAAGCAGTGCTTTGTACTTTGTGTGTCTGTGTGGGTGCAAACTATTTAAATATTAGTATATACCAAGTTGATCTTCTGTATATAAAGATAATTGAAAATGAATCTTGATGAAGAATGGGATGGGAGAGGGAGTGGGAAATGGGATGATTGTGGGTGGGAGGGAGATTATGGGAGGAAAAGCTGCTATAATCCAAAAGCTGTATTTCAAAATTTATATTTATTAATAAATAAATAAACTGTTTTTATTGCTTCCTTGATTTTTCTTGTTTAAGATCCAGAACATTCTATCCGAAGGACATCTAATTCATAATTGAAAATAACTTAATGAAAATAATGAAACTCATTCATGGTCTCCAGATCATGACTCTGAAACAGTATAATGATCTATCTTCTAAGATGGAAATAAAAAGAACTGGAGAAATATCTTTACAAAGAGGGTGTACTTTTCCTAAAAGTCCTTGTATCTTGATTTAGTCATTTCCATCACTTTCCTTGGTAAATGTCTTGCTTACATAATCCATGTGGAAATGTGCCCTGGGAGCCAAATCATATTTTGTTTGACTAATCAAAATCCAACACAGATCTGAGAATATTGAGTCTTTTTGTTTATATATAAATTTTTTAGCTTTTCAGAATGTAATTTAAAATTATTTTGTGCTAGCGAAATATATTAATTTTATAAATGTAAAATTTTATCAGCAGTTAAAACACTTGCACCACACACAGCTTTTTTTAAGTATAAGAAACTACCGACCGGCGCCGCGGCTCAATAGGCTAATCCTCCGCCTAGCAGCGCTGGCACACCGGGTTCTAGTCCCCGTCGGGGCATCGGATTCTGTCCCGGTTGCCCCTCTTCCAGGCCAGCTCTCTGCTGTGGCCAGGGAGTGCAGTGGAGGATGGCCCAAGTGCTTGGGCCCTGCACCCCATGGGAGACCAGGATAAGTACCTGGCTCCTGCCATCGGATCAGCGCAGTGAGCCGGCTGCAGCACACCAGCCGTGGCGGCCATTGGAGGGTGAAGCAACGGCAAAGGAAGACCTTTCTCTCTGTCTCTCTCTCTCTCTCACTGTCCAATTTGCCTGTTTAAAAAAGAAAGAAAGAAAGAAAGAAACTACCTTCAATGGTGTCCTGATTTCTAGGAAAATGATAATACAGTTTGGATTAAGTTATTTTAGACTGGTTTCAATAGTGCTTTGTACTAGATCTGCCAAAGTATCTGTCCAGCTTGGTATCCTGTGAAAGTTTGTGATTTTCTTGTTAGACATTCTTATAGAGTGTTGTCTTTAAAATGAGATTGTCTCTTCTATATTGAAAGCATTTTTATGTTTTCTAATTTAAAAATATTTTCTTCCAGTTGTGCAATAAAGCTGAAGTAGCAAAAATAAAATAAAAGAAAATAAACAACCCTGTAGATACATAAGTCCCAGTTAAATAATAACTAAATTATTGAGAATCCATAAATGACCCAAAGGAATTAACAAGAACTGATCATTTTGAAGATGGCGCTGATTTTTCATTTCACTTACACACTTGCAGTACAGGAATTATACAGCTTCTGAAAATGATGGATCATCAAAAACATTGTAAACAGCTATTAATAAATCAGCATATTACCTGCCCAAGGAACATATTCAGGTCCTTTTTCTAGTGCTTCTCTCCTATACAAGGAGTTTCTATTTTGGCGATAATGATTAGCAGCCTGCAACATATCATGGAAGACAAATCAAATGTGTTATCACATGTGCAAAGTGATGGACCACAGCATTTCAGAGAATAATTTGTTTTTTGTTTTTTCTTTGTTTTTGTTTTAGTTTTTGACAGGCAGAGTGGACAGTGAGAGAGAGAGACAGAGAGAAAGGTCTTCCTCTGAAGTAGCACCTTGACAGTAGGGACTCCATTTTGGAGCACTTGAGACTGCATTCTGGGAAAGTAACCCCCCCCCAATGTGAGACTCTGGTCTGAAACTATGATCTCAAATAGTCAGACAATAGCAGTGCACTACATCCCTTGACAGAGCACAGAAAACCCCTAGCATGATTGCTCAAGCTTGAAAATAGAAAGGTTACACCTGGGTTAATGATAAAGATGTGCTTTGTCTATGTCTTACATATAATTTGGATTAATGTCAAGATCATAAATGATAATTGTACGATTGTAACTGGTATTGTCAAGATTATGATGAATATTAATTTCAGCTAGGTCTTAGGTTATGTTGACCCCAGTAACTATGTACTCTCTTTTTGATCTTAGCAACCATGTATAGCAACCATGCATTCCCCCCCCTCCGGATTTTACGGTTTTTGCCTTTATAAACCCTATGCTGTAGATCCTCAGGGCTGCTCAGTTCTGGTTTGATCAGAGAGCCCCAGCATACTGGAAAAAAAAATCCTTTGCAATTTGCATGAGAGAGGTCTTTTGGAGTCGTCCCTTGGGTGGTGGGCGTTCTCGACCTTAACACCTCTACCGTTGGTTCACCCTCCAATGGCCGCCACAGCTGGTGCGCTGCGGCCGGTGCACCACACTGATCCGAAGGCAGGAGCCAGGTGCTTCTCCTGGTCTCCCATGGGGTGCAGGGCCCAAGCACTTGGGCCATCCTCCACTGCACTTCCTGGCCACAGCAGAGAGCTGGCCTGGAAGAGGGGCAACCGGGACAGAATCCGATGCCCCGACGGGGACTAGAACCCGGTGTGTCGGCGCCGCAAGGCAGAGGATTAGCCTATTGAGCCATGGCACCAGCTCAGAGAATAATTTGAAACACTAAGGTCTGTTAGTGAAAAAAAGTACCCTGCAAAAGACCAGAGGATTACTTTTGGGGTTTCTCTGCTTTTGACATTTGCTTTACTCCACAATTTAACTTCAACTTTGGAAAACTATAAGTTTCCAACCTAAGTAGGAAAATCATTAATATAAAGTCCATTAGCTAAAATTAGATGGAATATTTTGATCAATAATACAAGCAGCAAGTGTCTGAGTGGTTAGAAAATAGAAATGAGAGCTATTTGGGTTTGTTAATATTAATATGTGTATTAATTTTTAACAAGGAGAAATTCAGGTTTTATTGAGAACATCATAAATGTGTGTGTATTAATATATACATTCAGTTAGCTGATATTTTTCATTTTAGAAACAGCAAATGGCTGAAACTTCATAAATTATTGATCATGCAGACTCTGAATAAGGAAACCACTTATTGTGTATCGAGACTCTGAGCTTTAATCTGCTGCAGTCTTGATGGTACTTTTATACCTTAAGAATATTGTTCACGCTGATCACCACTTCAGCCCATTCCACAGAATCCAGTGCTGCGTCCTTCAAGACTTGCTCCTCGTGCTCCAGTAAACACTCACAGATAGTATCTACTTGGGACACCTGAGGGGATAAACAGAAGCCAACACTTACAACAAAATTATGATGATGGGTTGCAACTACAACCACTCACTGCGTTTTACTCATTACACCAATATACTGAGTTAGTGGTGAAAATAAATTTTAAAACCAAGTTATAATCTCCCAACTTCTAAATGTTAGAGTGCACAAAAAAACAAATTAAGGGGCTGGCGCTATGGTGTAGTGCGTAAAGCTGCCGTCTGCAATGCTGGCATCCCACACGGGTTGGGGATGCTTTGAGTCTGGGGGTGCTGACACTGCAGGTGGTGGCTTCACCTGCTGCGCCACAGTGCTAGCCCCTTCTTAACCAGTGTCATAATCACATGGTTGAATGCCTCCCCCACCACGTAGATATTTCAATTGAACTATCTGTTTATAATAGCTATTAGCGCTCAATATAACCATCTATCACTTGATTACAATTGACATAATTTTATTAGGTAAGACCCCCAAACTAATTACTGGATTATAATAATGACCCAAATTGAAACTTGCTAATTTTTCTTTGAAGAATTCCCTGCTTTTCCAGGTGTAACAGAAATGTTTGTAGAAAAACAATTAGCAGGGACCGGCACTGTGGTGTAGTAGGTAAAGCTGCAGCCTGCAGTCCTGGCAAGCCATATGGGCACCAGTCTGAGTCCTGGCTGCTCTACTTTTGATCCAGCTCTGTGCTATGACCTGTAAAAGCAGTAGAATATGGCCCAAGTCCTTGGGCCCCTGCACCCATGTGGGGGATCTGGAGGAAGCTCCTGGCTCCTGGCTTTGGATTGGCCCACCTCCAGCCATGGCAGCCATCTGGGGAGCGAACCAGAGGATGGGAGACCTTTCTCTGTGTCTCTGATTGTTACTCTGCCCTTCAAATAAATAAATAAATCTTAAAAAAAATAGTAAATAATCAACCATATGATTTCTTATTCTTCATTTTGTGTCATTAACACATGAAGACAACATGGCAAAAATGTTATGAAAACTCTTGTTCACAGTTTCAGTCCTACAGTTAAACTTTCCCCCTTTATTTAATTTGAAAAGCACTGTAGCAGGTTAAGCCACCACCTGCAATACCAGCATCCCATGCAAGCACTGGTTTGAATCCCTGCTTCTCCACTTCCAATCCAGCCCCCAGCTAATGCACATGGAAAAGCAGCAGCAGATGACCCGAGTGTTTGCCACAGTCCCCCCAGAGGGAGACCAGGATGGAGTTCCAAGCTCCTAGCTTCAGGCTGGCCGATCCCTGGCTGTAGCAGCTATTTGGGGAGTAAATCAATGGATGAAAGAACCCCCCCTCTGTTATTAATGAGGATTTGATTCTGATACTTAAATATTTCAAATCCACATAAGAATCTATCACTGTCGCAATATTTTTCACTATCTTTCTAATAATATAAAATCAACTTATGACAATCTAAAGTTTTACACAAAAGTACACAGAAATTCTGAATTAAATCCTGTTTTTTAAAGAACTGGACTTAAAATACTGTGTTACCAAAAAATTTTTTTAAAAAGCTGAAAAGAACATTTCTCCTGAAATACATTATTTTTCTTCTTTTATCTAATCTTCAATGCAGCCTTTATAGTTAGAGCAATAGGCCTCCAAACAGCCCTAGAATACTTTACTTTTAAGTCAGCACAGAAAACACATCACATCCCACATTAAAAAAAAAAAAACTCCTCAGTACAGAGGGGGTATTTCCTGTTACACTGAAGAGAGCTGACAATGTAGAGCACAAACATCAAGAGTCCCCACCTCCCTGTGCAGCAACCTGGACCCTTACTTGATGAATAAAGTCCATAAGGAAAGAATGGGCTTTCATCTTATCTTCCAGCTGGTGAAGAATAATCAGTGATGTGTTGCTGAACCCAGGTGCTTCTGCAAAAACAGAGTAACAAAACTGAAACACACAACAGACTGGTCTTAGGATAGTGACTGCTACTAAAATGAAACCTACCACGGGGCAGGTGACTGGCCCAGTGGTTAAGATGAGGCTCAGCCCTTCAGGCTTCCTGGTCTGGCTGAAAAGCCTGTGAGAGCATTTCAGGAATGGAAAGCCATGACAATGTGGCAAAAAAATGTTCTACATGAAGGATCTTTGTGAGACCCCAACGGAAAGAAGTGGCCATCAAAGAAGGATGCACTTTTCTCTGAAGGGAGGAGAGAACTTCCACTTTGTTAATGGCCTTGTCTAAAAATGCTGACGGAGATTGTGGATTCAAAAGGCTTCCATAGCCTAGGCAGCTCATGTCAAGAGCCTCGGGTGGTCACTGACGTCATACATTAAGAGTGTTAATTGTTAAAGGAACAACAGGAGTCACTGGGCACTAACTCTCCATGCAGGAACTTTGTCCTCAATGAGTTGTATTATGAGAATTAAATGTGATACCTGTTCCCAGGTTGTGTGTGTGCATGTGTGCAAATTGTTGAAAGCTTTACTTAGTATAGAGTTGGTCTTCTGTGTACAAAGTTAATTGAAAATGATTCTTAATGGAGAATGGGACTGGGAAGAGAAGGAGGAGGGCTCGGGGTCAGAGTCGGAGTGTGGGTGGGAGGGTGGGTATGATAGGAAGAATAACTATATTCCTAAAGTTGTAGATATGAAATTTGCATTCCTTAAAAATAAATTAATTTTTTTAAAAAAGAAAAAAAGATGAGGCTTAGGAGGCCCACATCCCATACTTGAGTCCTAGCCCCGCTTCCAATTCTAGCTTCCTGCTAGTGCACACCCTGGAAAGCAGTGGTGGTAGCTCAAGCACTTGGGTCCCTGCCACCATGGGAGACCCAGATTGAGTTCCTGGCTCCAGGCTTTGACTTGGCCCACTCTGGGCTATTGCAGGCAATTGGGGGAGTGAATCAGTGAATGAGAATTTTCCTTCTGTCTCTCTACTTTTCAATGGTAAAAATGATTATTTTTTAAAAGAAAATTTAAAAAGAATGGGAAAGTAGCAACCCCTCAACTAAATTATTTATAAAATTACCCAAGAATTCTAAAAATTCGGAGGAAAATTTTGGGAGTTTCATACAATTCCTATGCATTAATTCAAAATGAAGAACATGTTATTACTGGTTTAATCATTTATGTCATCCAAATTTAAAAACTCAGGAACAGTCAAAGGAAGGAGGTGAGTGCTGATGTCTTCTTCCTAAGTCTTGAGCAATGCTCAGAAAACTCACTAAGAAGTAGGGTATCAGGGAGAGGAATGTCCTCAGGAACCCCCAGAGTATCCTCCCTGCTATAGTGGATGGAAGAGTAAGTTGGCAGTCACTAGAGACACTAACCTGCTACACCCCACTTCTACATACTGAGGTTTGCTTACTGCTACTCTCCTGAGAATGTACAATCTCTATCAGCCAAATACACTGATCATGCCAAAATTATCCTTAATAATTTGGGGGTAAATACATACCAAATGCTTACTGATACCACCAATTTAATTCCTTTTTTTAGGGATTTATTTATTTATTTGTTTATTTGAAAGAGAGAGAGTGACTGACAGAGAGGGATCTCCCATCCACTGGTTCACTCCCCAAATGACCACAATGGCCAGGGTGAGGCCAGGAAGTCAGGAGCTTCTTCTGTGTCTCCCACGTGGGTAGCAGGGGCCCAAGCACATAGGCACCTTCTGCCACTTTCCCAATGCAATAGCAGGGAGCTGGATTGGAAGTGGTGCAGTCAGGACAGGAACCTGTAGCCATATGGAATGCTGGCATTGCAGGCAGCAGTTTAACCTGCTACACAATTTCCTTTTAGAAATAAAAATCTTGAGAAAGCTCAGTAGTATGCCTCAGACAGAATATAAGGATTTGCTCCAATGTTCCCTCATAGTCTATAACCTAGGTCTGTTCTGAGGCCTCTTCAAAATCTTTACAAGAAAGATTGTAAAAATACTGAATTGGGGGCCGGCACTGTGGTGTAATAGATTAAGCCTCCACCTGCAGTGCTGGCATCCCATATGGGCAATGGTTTGTGTGCTGGCTGCTCCTCTTCCAATTCAACTCTCTGCTTATGACGTGGGAAAGCAATGGAAGATGGCCCAAGTGCTTGGACCCCTGCACCCATGTGGGAGATGCGGAGGAAGCTCCTGGCTCCTGGCTTTGGATCAGCTCAGCTCTGGCCATTGTGGCCATTTGGGAATAAATCAGCAGATGGAACACCTCACTATCTGTCTGTAACTCCATCTCTCAAATAAATAAATACATTTTTAAAACAAAACAAAACTGAATTGCCAATCACTTGAGAAATTTTAAAATGTGCTTTGAGAGATACTTTTAATACAGATGTTACATATTATAAAAATGGTTGTTACACAAACCCAGAATATCCTTACCTTCTGGGACAGATTCAGCCCATGGTGGGTCAGAAGCTGGATAGTCATCCATCAGGTCTACGCTGATTTGGGTAACAGCCTTGTCTAGTTCACAATCAGAACCCAGATCAGCGTGAGAGGAAAACAGCTCATCAACCATCATCTGAGCATGACCGAAATCTTTTCTGAAATAGAATTGGAAAACAAAAATATTAAGGGAGGTCAAACATCTTCAAAACTAACTATGAGGGGAGGCTTTGGGGTGCAGCAGGTTAAGCTGCTCTGCCAGTTCGAGTCTCAGCTACTCTGCTTCCCATCCAGCTCCCTGATAAGGCTCCTGGGAAGCAGCAGATCATAGCTCAAGTACTTGAGTCCCTGCCACCCATGTGGGACCTCAGATGGAGTTTCTGGCTTCCTGCTTTGGCCTGGCTCAGCCCAACCCTTGCAGAAAGTGAATTTGGGGAGTGAACCGGTGGGTGGAAGATGTCTCGCTATCACCCTGCCTTTCAAATAAATAAATAAATCTCTTAAACAAAAGACACTAACAACAAAAAATTGTGAAATTAAAGTCCCATGTATACATCTTAGCCTGAAGTGTTTTTATTTAAACTTTTTAATTAAAAGCGAGAAAAATATTATGTACCTACTGATTCAATAAATATATACAGAATACTTATAGCTAAACACTGCACACAGAATGATAAACTAGATCTTAAGAAACAGACCTGAATGTCAGAAAATTAAAAAAGCAATGACAAGTATTGTGACAGGACAAGAACAGAGGACTACGGAGCACAGCAATGTATCAGAGGGGCAAGACCTGCTGGAGGAAGAGACGGTCAATCCAAGCCCTAATGGCTAAGGAAGGGGTTAAACAAGTTGCAGAGAATATAGGGAGGGGTATGCAGATGCACAGAGCTTATTTCCATGTCTAATAGCAAGTAAGCCCGGATCTCTAGAGAGACCTGAAACCAATGGATAGGATGAAATCCTACAAGGAGGGAAGTATCTGGAAAAACAGCTCCCAGAACAACCAAGTAAAGGACAGGTGAGCCCTTAAAAGAAGCAGACTCTTCTAAACTGGTCAGAGACATCAGAGCACAACCAGATGTCAATGAACCAAAGGCAGATCAAACAGAATTCCCATGAAGGAATGAGATAAATTCAGAGGGGGTGGATTATAAAACCAGAGAAGACAAAGCCTTGTGAACTATATTACAGAGTTTGAACTTAATCCTTTTGACAACAGAAAGGTGTCAGGATCCCTTCTAGTTTTCTAGACAATCATGTTCACTGTGATATAGAGAGGTGACTAGATGGCCTATCAGACAAATGTGGTCTTATTTAGAAATAAGGTCTTTGTAAATGTAGTAAGTTAAGGGTTAGAATGGGCCCTAAGTCCAGTAACTGGTGCCCTTAGGCAACATGAAGACAGCTACAGTGGGCAGAGGCCAAGTGACAGTGGAGACAGAAACTGGAGTGATTCATCTACAATGCCAGGAATGGGAAAGACCAGCAGCAACCACCAGCAGCTAGCAGAGGCAGGGAAGGGTTTTTCCCCAGAGCCTTGGAGGGAATGTAGCCTTGCTGATGTCTTGATTTTGGACTTCTGACCTCCAGACTATGAGCAAATACATTCTGTGGTTTGAACCTACCCCTTCTGTGGTGATTTGCTATAGCAGCCACTTATCTACAATGTCATTGACATTCTGAGATGCCACAAATCTGACAGAATTTTAATTAAAGAATAAACACGTAAAATAAGATAATCTAAATCTTTGCAGTGAGATTGAACCAAGCAACAAGATTATAAAAATATTAAGTAAGGGCCGGTGCCATGGCTCAATAGGCTAATCCTCCGCCTAGCGGCGCCAGCACACCAGGTTCTAGTCCTGGTCGGGGCACCGAATTCTGTCCCGGTTGCTCCTCTTCCAGGCCAGCTCTCTGCTGTGGCCCAGGAAGGCAGTGGAGGATGGCCCAAGTCCTTGGGCCCTGCACCCACATGGGAGACCAGGAGAAGCACCTGGCTCCTGCCTTTGGATCAGCGTGAAGCGCTGGCCGCAGCGCACTGGCCGCGACTGCCATTGGAGGGTGAACCAACGGCAAAGGAAAACCTTTCTCTCTGTCTCTCTCTCTCTGTCCACTCTGCCTGTCAAAAAAATATATATATTAAGTAAGATTTAACAAAAACCCCATTTAATGGTGCCCCTTCGGGACCAGAACTACCCTTAGGAAATTATTATGAGGCACAGTTTCTGCCTTGTTTATGTTTGTTGATTTGTTAATTAATTTATTTATTTTCCAGTTCTGGAGAGGCAGAATCTCTCTCTCTCTCTCTCTCTCTCTCTCTCTCACACACACACACACACACACAGACACACACAGACACACACACTTTTAATCTGCTGGTTTACTAGGGCTGGGCCAAGCAGAAGGCAGGGGCACAGAGCCTGGAGCTTGGAACTCCACACGTTGTCACCTACATGAGCACCAGGGGCCCAAGCCATCTTCCGCTGCCTCCTGCAATGGAAAAGAAGAAAGCTGCTAGGTCTTGAACCAGCACTCCAATAAAGAATGTGGGTATCCCAAGCAGTGGCTTAACCCTCTTTGCCAGAAGGCCCACTTTGGAGGCACAGTATTAAGCCTTTAAAAGCACTTTCAGTCTTACTGCTATCCCTGTTGTGAGAGTGAGCCACTGTGCATCTGGTAGCACTGATTGGGGTTCTGCATTCACAAGCTGAGGCTGAAAACAAAGGAAGCAAACAGAATAGGCTTCAAACCAAGTGTCTGCTGGATACACTAATGATTCTTCATCTATTCCAACTCCTTCCCCACTCAACATTGAGCAAAGGAAGAAATAGAATGCCAAAAATGTTCAGCAAGTTGTTCAAAGTCTCACTCAGCTCAAATGTAAGGGGTAGAACAGTGGCTGGATTCAATTTTCCTGGGTGATCAATCATATATGAATTTATCACATCTCATAAAGACTGTTCCGGAATACATGGCATATAGAAAACTTAACTAGGATCAACTAAAATCTGAATTCATCTCCCTTGAATGCTTTCTCACTGTGGGCTCCACCCTTCAACTTGCTCTGACCAACTGCACACTAACAAATGTCACCCAAGCAGAGACCCAAGGGTACCTGTGCACTGAGGCTTGCTCCTGTGCCACTTCTAAACTCTGTGTTATGTAAACAAGCCCAAGGCACATGGCTGTTTTCTAGATGCTATATGTTCAGGGAGTTTTTATCTAGCTTCTCTGATCTCTGTGCTATAGGAGGCTAAGTCATTTGCTGTGAGGAAGGCAAAAAAGAAATGAGAAGCTGGAAGAGATTAGCAAAGGGCTAAGGGGCCAGCGCTGTGGCAGTCGGTTAAGCTTCTGCCTCTGGTGCCAGCATCCCATGTGGGCCTTGGGTTGAGTGTTGGCTGCTCCTCTTCCAATCCAGCTCTCTGCTATGGCCTGGGAAAGCAGCAGAAGATGGCCCAAGGACTTGGGCCCCTGAACCTGCGTGGGAGACCCAGAAGAAGCTCTTGGCTCCTGGCTTCAGATTGGTGCAGTTCCAGCCATTGAGGCCATTTGGGGAGTGAACCATCGGATGGAAGACCTCTCTCTCTCTCTGCCTGTCCTCTCTCTGTGTAACTCTTTCAAATAAATAAATCTTAAAAAAAATCTTACATAACTGTTTTAATTAAAAAAAGAGTACTTATAAGATGATGTGTCTGAAGTGAGGGTATTAATGTTACAGTATAAGGAGAGGGTTAGTATGAACTGATTTATCATCATAAGAAAAATGGTTCACTGAAGAAAATCAAAGGTTTTATTTTGTGTGTTCCATTATTCATATGGTGCAATGCCAACTTCATAAGAAACTTTCAACCTAACCAATTTCACAAAGAATTAAGTGTGAAAGCAGTTACTTTATAAACTTACTATGAGATCACTACTAGGAGACAAAATTCCAAAGAGAGAAGAAACCTTCGCTGGATGCCTGAGAGCATGCCTTGCCCCTGAGGCAGAATATGCTGATGAATCTTTCCTGAGCTTTCAGGGATCAACCAAATTAGTTGTGGCTTCCTGATGAGGACAAAAAAAAAACTTCCTCCCTGGGAACAACATCATGAGATTAGTTCAGTTATGCATCTAACAATAGGACAGAGTAACAACAAATGCTTTGATACAGAGAAAAATTATCTTCACCTTAAATAAATCTAAAGAATAATAAAAAAGAACAATATTATTTTCTTAAAATAATGATACTCAGGAGTCCATCCATTCAAAATGAAAAGCTTTGTAGTAGAAAAAAGTTCACCATATATTTTTTAATTCTGACTTTTAAGTTATAGGCTCATAATATTGCATGTGCAACAAATTAAGTATGAGATTTTATGTCTTTGGTAAACCCACAGAGTAGATATTAGAAAAACATCCATCACAGTGCCTCAGAGGTTCAAGCTACTCTCACAAAATGTCTCTGAAAGAAATGAACCCCACTGACTACCACCCAACACTGCTAGCTGAGAGTCCTACGTGAAGAATCTCCTTTGTCTTAGTGTTAAGATCCTTACATTCTTTTTCCTTAACTGTTTTTGATGGATCCCTGGTCTGAATGATCTGTTCAAATCCCTAGATTTGTATTCATTCAAATCTCACTTCCAAGTCAAAACACAATTTTCCAATCAATATAAACAATATCCACCATACCTGCACTGCTTTTAGGAAATTGTAAGTCTTATCACCTCCCAAATCTACAAGAGTCTCTCTAGGTGTCTTCCCCAGCCAGGCTTAGCCAGTGATGGATGAATCCTTCTCTGGTGGCAAATTCACAGTTCATTAGCTTATATGGATGGCATTTAGTCTTAGAGTTCAGTCAGCAAAATGATTTGCATTATGTTCATTAAAAATGTCTCTGATTTTATTAAATGTAAATGATGTTTAAAAATTACTAATGGGAGGAAAGCCTTTTCTTTAATACACAAATGTGTATACATGCTTGGCATTTCATACTACTATGGAAATGCTAACCCATAAAGCCTGAAGCACATCACTACCCTCTACTGACTAGAAAATGAAGGGCAAAGGTAAGAACCAATTGATAGCTTTCTCTTCTATCTCCTTCAAGCTCTCTCAAGAATTGTTACCAGCCAGTACCACAGCTCACTAGGCTAATCCTCTGCCTTGCGGCACTGGCATACCAGGTTCTATTCCTGGTCGGGGCACCGGATTCTGTCCCGATTGCTCCTCTTCCAGGCCAACTCTCTGCTGTGGCCCGGGAGTGCAGTGAAGGATGGCCCAAGTCCTTGGGCCCTGCACCCCATGGGAGACCAGGATAAGTACCTGGCTCCTGCCATTGGATCAGCGTGGTGCGCCGGCCGCAGCGCGCTGGCCGCGGCGGCCATTGGAGGGTGAACCAACGGCAAAAGGAAGACCTTTATCTCTGTCTCTCTCTCTCTCTCACTGTCCACTCTGCCTGTCCAAAAAAAAAAAAAAAACCATAAAAAAAAAGAATTGTTACCTTAGTAATAGGTGACAGAGAAATCTTCCAAATAATCCATTTCTCTTTGCAGGCCAGACAAGCCCATCCACCTTCATCGACATGAACACTCAGTTGATCATCAACTAGAGAAAAACAAGAGGGGTTTAAAGTGTGAATAGGTCAAGGTGTTAAAATTTCTTTATATCAAAAAATCTTTTTTTAAAAAGATTTATTTACTAATTTGAAAGGCAGAATTATAGAGAGAGAGAAGGAGAGACAGAGAGATCTTCACCCACTGGTTCACTCCAGAAATGGCCACAAAGCCCAGGGCTGTGCTGGGCTGGAGCCTGGAACCAAGTGTTTCTTCCAAGTTTCCCATGTGGGTGGTAGGAGCCCAGGAACTTGGGCCACCTTCCGCTGCCTTCCCAGCTACATTGGCAGGGAGCTGGATTGAAAGTGGAGCATATGGGACATTGGTGCTAAGGGCCGCAACTTGACCCACTACACCATAGCACTGGCCCCATTCGCCAACATCTTTATTATCATGTGCTTCACCAAAAAAGGTAACTGTCATACACAGCAAATAGTATTCACAGCAAAAGCTAATTTGAATATTCAAAACTTAACAAAATACCAAAACAGATAACAAAGTTCTCTACTTCACTTTGATAGCCACTTTAGAAATACTTCCAAAGGCAAAAAATGTATCTTGGGCTTAGGTTTAGCATTCTTTCAGTTCTGACTCATAAATCACAGCCTCAGCCATCCTTCCTCTGGGCAGGAGGCCTGTGGCAGTGCCTGGGGAGTTTCAAGCCCACCTCCTTACAGGGTCACCAAGAGCGCCACCACACTTTCTGTTCAACTTCAATTCCCTTTGTGGGGAAGCAAGCATGAGTATCATGGCAAACTAAGTTATATTTGTTCTTCCTCTGGGAAATTGGTTCATTTTTTTTCTCTATACATGGGGAAATTAGTATTTCAATTTCATATAATCAGATAATGTTCTGTATCTCTTTAGACTATGATTTGTTAATTCTCAGGTTTTCCTTCTAGATTACTGATTCTTGATGTTTATCTCTAATAACATCATAAATATCATAAAAAGAAATTACTTTTCCCAGCATTTTAGGCTGCTACACTGTGGCATGCTAAGTTTGTTATAGCAATATAAGCAGTTTATATAATAAATGACTAACACATCTGAAAAAATTCTTTCATTTTTATTATAAACAGATTATCTTGCCCTCTACAAGAAACGTAGCAATGTGCATAATTTTTAACCAAGGAACACAAATAAATTCTCACTTACATTAAACATTTCAAAGAAAAATCATGTTCCTCAAAAAGAACTTCCTTTTCAAAAAGGAGTTGCTGAAAGGTACAATAAACTACTTCACTATGAAGATATACAAAATACATTCTCTAATAAGTGACAAAAACTAAATTAACCTATTGCCATGTCTGGTAGTAAACTTTCATAAACATGTTAACAGCCCTAGGAATTTAGTTAACTTGAGATTGCTCTCTGCTTGAAGGCAGAATGGTGGAGGAGAGGGGCTACAAAACAGAAGGAAACCCTGGACTTACTCTTGGATGTTTTTTTTTTTCCTCTCTGATTTTTGGAAAGAGATGCACACAGCATCATGTAGAATCTTGAAATCTTTCTATCTCCACACAAGTAGCTCATGGACTCAGCCACAGACTGTTTCATATTCAGCTGGCGACAGATGAAGGACAGATAATTTTTAATTTTCAGCTTTCTGGACCAAACAGCTACCTTCAGCAGGCTTTTCTTTCTTTTTTTTTTTTTCTTTTTTTTTTGTTTTTTGTTTTTTGTTTTTTTTTTTTTTTTTTTTTTTTTTTTTTTTGTTTTTTTTTTTTTTTTTTTTTTTTGTTTTTTTTTTAGTTTTAATGGTTCTACTTAAACACAAATGAAATGTGCACAGGAGCTATCCATTTTCTTCACTGTTCAGCCTGGCATTGGGATTGGTGACTCTGATGCCAGCTGGGCTGCTCTCTCCATGATGCCCTCTCCATGATGGTTCATGGAGGAAACACTGAACAATCTCAGCACGGCAAGATTTGTTGTGTAATAGCAACACCTCCAGCTCGTTGACATTGAGGGCTAGTAACTTCCAGATGCCACCAGGAAGCTTTGTTTTCCTATTGTTCCCAAAACCAATGTTGGGGTCAAGATCTGGCCATTGAATCTTCTCTACACCCCGTTGTCAGTACTCCTTGATTTCTGCCACTTATCCTTAAACTCGACATCTTAGTCTGACTGGTGCAGGATGAGCTTGTTGGTCCTCTTTTTGTCAGTCTTAGGCTTCACAAGGTGTCTGAGGGCAGCCATGATACTTTCCTGAGGAGTAGTATATAGTCCAGGTATGATGAGGAATGTGTGACTCCTCTCTATAAAGTGTTGGGTCAAACTGCAAGCAATATTATCTTAGAATATCCTTGAGTTCCATGATTTCAACTTGGTTATCACAATGGTAACAACAGTTGAAGCATTGATGATCATTACCATGTTCATGATACAAAACTGCCAGCTTAGGTGTAGACACCAATGTGCCTAATTTGGCATGACACAATGTCTCTGCCTGTCTTGCCCAAAGGAGTCACCAACTCATTGTGGTGACACAACAGTCTACATAGTCTCTTAGAAACAAGTCATATGCATCGGCAATCTGCCACCAATTCTAAGCACCAATGTGCCTAATTTGGCATGACACAATGTCTCTGCCTGTCTTGCTCAAAGGAATCTCCAACTTGTTGTGGTGACACAAGAGCAGTCAACGTAGTCTCTTAAGCCAGTCATATGCATCTGGCAATCTGCCACCAATTCTAAGCACCAATGTGCCTAATTTGGCATGACACAATGTCTCTGCCTATCTTGTCCAAAGGAGTCTTCATTTGGTGGTGACACAAAAATGGTTGACATAGTCTCATAAGCAAGCCATATTCATCTGGCAATCTGCCACCAATTCTAAGCACCAATGTGCCTAATTTGGCCTTTGTGCAGCACACAAGAAATTAGGAGGTTTTCCAAGCAGTGAATGTGGTCAGCAGTATTCCTCCTGTTGTAAAGGCATCCTGAAATATGCTCGTACTGTACAGGTGAGTGAGTGACAGGATGAATTAAGGATGTAGTGAGGAAGGACACAAACATTTGAAAGCTGGGGCCAGTTGCTGTCTTTGAGGCAGTTGTACTGGTGCTTGTGATAAAATGAGAGGGAATGTGAATGAGCAGAGGGGTAAGAGTAGGTGTTTGGCAGTGGCAGGCCAGAATATGTGCCTGTGCCTATAGGGTTGAAAACAGACATTGAAACAGTACCCATGTGCTCACTTGGACAGTGGGTAACTGTTTCTTCAAAAGAAAAGTGGGGAATAGCTTGCACCAGATGCAACGGGACCCAAAACATAATGGTTGCTCTGCATAATGGCAATGTTCTGCAGAGTGTGTTTCCGATGGAGTGCATCCTGGAGCACTCAGTCACAAATGGATTGGGTGGAGCATTTCCAGGAGATGCAAGCACAGACTTGGAGTCAGTGTGTACCCGGCTGTTGAAACCCCAGTCCTTTCTCTCTCTCTGGAGAGTTCATACATTTGGTGCAACACAGATATTGGCAAGCTGCAGGACATATGTAAGACCAAGCATTCAGACAGAACTAAGATAGTGGTGGTCAAGTTTGTTCAAAGGAAAGTGTGTTATTGATGGTCAAGGTTGTATAAGAAAGATATTGGTGGTCAAATTGTATAAAGGAAAGTGTGATATTGGTTTCAAGGTTGTTTAAGTAAGATGTTGGTGGTCAAGATTGTATAAAGTAAAGTGCGATATTGGTGGTCAAGCTTGTTTAAGTAAGATATTGGTTGTCAAGGTTGTTTAAAGGAAAGTGTGATATTGGTGGTCAAGGTTGTCACCAATATCTTACTTAAACAACCTTGACCACCAATATCACACTTTCCTTTAAACAACCTTGACAACCAATATCTTCCTTAAACAACCTTGACCACCAATATCACACATTCCTTTATACAACCTTGACCACCAACATCTTATACAAGCTTGACCACCAATATCACACTTTCCTTTATACAACTTGACCACCAATATCTTTCTTATGCAACCTTGACCACCAATATCACGCTTTCCTTTAAACAACCTTGACCACCAATATCTTAGTTCTGTCTGAATATTTGATCTGACGTTGTCCTGGAGCTTGTCAATCTCTGTGTTGCACAGTGTAACTCCTTTCTATCATCTCAGAATGCTTTTCCTTCATACAGTGCAGGTGATACGTGCTTCATTGGAAACATTCCTCTGCATCATTCATTTCCTATAAAAGATTTGAGAAAGAGTCAGAAATTTCTCCATCTTGAAAAGCTTCCAAATCCTGTTTGCCTATTGTCAACATGAATGCATGCAACACACACACATACACACAGCCACAATCACCACCCACACCCCCCCCACACACACGTACAATGTAGATTTTTTTTTCAATCTGCCACAACATTAAAAGCAATGTTCTATATTTTATGAAACCTGAAACACAGGTAGTAAAAGAAAAATAGGCAAATGGGATTACATCAAACTAAGGAGCTTTGGAACGGCAAAGGAAACAGCAAAGCAAACAGACAATGACAGAATGGGAGAAATATCTACAAACTAGTCAGCCTGATAAAGGATTAGTATGTTAGAATAATAAGGAGCTCATGAAACTGAGTATACACAAAACAAAAAATCCAGTGAAAAAATGGGTAAAGGACATAAATAGGCATTTTTCAAAGGATGAACTACAAAGGGCCAATAGATGAGGCCAGCATTGTGTGTAGCAGATTAAGCCTCTGCCTATGATGCTGGTATCCCATATGTGCACAGGTTGGAGACCCAGCTGGTGCACTTCTAATCCAGATTCCTACTAATGCACCTGGGAAAGCAGCAGATCACCCAAGTCCTTGGTCCCCTGCACCCATGTGTGAGACCCAGCTCAAGCTAAGATGTTTATGAACAGCAAAGGAAACACTTGACAAAGAGAAGAGGCATCAGACCAAATGGTAGAAAATATTTGCAAACTATTCTCCTGATAAACCATTAAGATATAAAACATATAAGGGGCTCAAGAAACTGAACCAAAACAAAACAAATAACCCCATGAATAAATGGACAACGGAGATGAAAAGGCATTCTTCAAAGGATGAAATCCAAATGGACAACAGACACATGGACAAATGCTCGGGGTCACTAACCATCATGGAAATGCAAATAAAAACCACAATGAATTTCATGTCACCTAAGTGAGAATGCCTATCATCCAAAAATTAAAAAGAAAAAGAAAGAGAAGTGCTTTTGAAGCTGTGGGAGAAAAGGTACCTAGTCCACTGTTGGTGGGAATGTAAACTAGTACAGCCATTGTGGAAGACAGTATTGAGATTCTTCAAAAATCTGAAAATACACCTATCATATGACCCAGCCCTTGCACTCTTGGGAATTTACCCAAAGGAATGAAATCAGCATATGAAAGGGTCATCTGTACCCCCCACATTGATGTTTATGAGTGAAGCTGACATCCTTATAGTTTATCATTTGTTACAGCCCTTGTCTACTATTGCACAACAGTGGTCTTTGTATTTTTTTCTGGTTGAGTTCTTCATTGAGTGTAGGATTAAACCTGTGAGTATGAAGTGCATTGAATGTGTGGGGTTGAGTGTTTTGTGGCCACCAGTGTCCCATATGGGTGCTGGTTTATGTCCTGTGCACAACAACTACTAAAGGCCTGGCAAAAAAGGCCGAGATTGGCTCAAGTGTTTGGACTACGGTATCCCATGTGGGAGACCTGGAAGAAGCTCCTGGCTCCTGTGTTGGCCTGGCCCAGCTCTGGCTATTGTGGCCATCTGGGAAGTGACCTACCAGATGGAAGATCTCTCTTTCTCTCCTCCTAATTCTTGCTTTCAAAAAATAAACAATATTAAAAGGGAAAAAAAAACAGGAGGAAGGAGGGAGGGAAAGGAGACAACAAAGGTGGGAGGGATCATTGCAGGCTTGAAACTGAATATATGAAATACATGAAATCTGTTCTCTTCACGTAAATAAATATGTTTAATGAGAAGTTATTTTAATGCTAGCACCAGTACAACAGCTCTGAAGGGGTGGACCAGCCCTGGTTTAATAAATCCCCAAACATCAACTCATATGTGTCCTTTCTCACTATGTACTCCACTCGTTTCTTTCCTCACACAGTTGTAGAGGAAAGTATAGTTCAGGATGTCCTTATATCAGGTAGGAATGCACTTGAAACAATAGAGCAACTCTAATTCTATGCATTGAGCACAGCTCCACGGCATGCCTCCTAGAAACCTGATTTGAGGACAGCTTTCCAATATTTGCTTACATGAGCTCATAGGAAATCTTCATCTGGGCCCTGCTAGCAAAGGGTTGGCCATCTTGTACATGGCAGCCTCACCCTGATTATTGTATTTCACTTGGGCAAATTGTCTATTAAAACACGTTTTAGAAGGAGTCAATAGCCTTTCTGACACTATTGGAAGCATAGAATCTCTCTCTGTCTTTCACACACACACACACACACACACCGTTTCATATGTGACAAATAATTCAGCCCAATGTGGCCAATGTAGGAACATAAACCTTTCCTAATCTAACATGATGTTGTTGCAGTTAAGCTATTTTCTGATTTTTTTTCATTGGGGGTAGAGCACAATTTGAAATTCTACATTGCAGTCATTTTTAGGACTGTTTAAAGTAGACTCCTACTGAATGCAGTCTCCAGAACTTTTTATCAAGCATTAACCTACTCTTCACTTCCCCTCCCCCTAGTCCCTGGCAATCAGTATTCTATTTTCTGTTTCTGTGACACTGAGCCCTACATATACCTTAAATAAGAGAAAGGAATGAACAAAGGCCTTGCACGGGAATGTAACTAGCCCTGGCCCCTGGTCTTTGTCAGCAGTTAAACACTGATCTAAAGCCTGCACTCTTCCCACTGCACACTTCACAAATGTTTAGGCACACTGAGAAGGAACACAGGCCTCCCAAATGGTGTCTTGACGCAGTGGAGAATGCTGGCCCGATCCCCTTATGGACTGCACACGTCCTTTCACTCTGGGCCAGTGTGTTTCAGGATGTGTTTACATCAGGAACAGACAGTGTGGAACAAGCTAGCTGTTAGGACATTTCTGCAATTTCCTATTTCATCGTTCCTTCCATTAGCTAATGTTCCATGGCCTAGAATCTTCTTACTCTTTTTCTTTCTGTTTGAGAATAGCTACCCAAAGTTTACATGAGCACACACATATCACTTTTCAAAAACCATTCTCTGTACTGTAGCTTCAAGTCCCTGTTTGTGCTGTACCATGTTTGAACCCAACACTCAATGTTTAGGATTCCTCTACTGCCCACTTCAACACTGACTCACCTGGCAAGCAGATCTGGATCTCTCTTGAATTCAAATCCCTTTTGTCATGTGGCAGACCCAGGAAATAGAGGGACTTCATGACCAGACTTCATCTGGGCCAATCACTTCTTAAAAGAAGATGCTAGAGGAAGCTAGAATCCTCTCCTGCATTAAAGCAGATGGCCACAGTCAAACCCTCTTTGTCTCAAACAAAAAAATGGATGTTTCGCACATTTGATAAAACAATCTGTACCAAGGTGTCCTGAATCACCAATAAGAAAAAAATCACTCTTTCCTAACCTAACCAACTTGGTATTTTACACGTTATTGGTTTGTAACTATGGTAACATACACATAAGTGTTGACTTGTAACCATAGAAACAGACATATAAGTTTTAGCAAGTATAATTCAGGAGGGCTATTATTACTTCTTTGAATCTGCCTCCACTACATGCCTTATTTGATATACTTTATCTTAAAGCAACAGAAACAGTCCTGGAAAAGAAAGAACCCCTCCCCCAAGTCCTGGTTTTAGGAGGCACCCACACACCGACGCTGAGGCCTGGGTTCCACTCATTGTGTGTTTCCTTCATTCTTCATTCACTCACTCATTAAGCATAAGGATTTCAGGACTGTTCAGGCTGGGGACACAGTGTGGCCCTGGACCTCACAGCTGTGTGGCCCTTTTTCTCAACTTCCTGAGTTCCTTGCTTTAGCTTTAGCTCACATTCCAGGGTCTGAAAAGCTCATCCCCCTAATCTAATAGCATCTGCCCAAGCTTTTTAGGAGCTCATGTGTAATCTTTCAAAATCCATTCCAGATTCTATAACCCCCAATCTGTTTTGTCTTTGTCCCACCCCTACCCCATGTTGTGCCTCTGAGTGTCCCATTCCATCCTCTGTCCCATTCCAGCTCTGAACTCACCTGACCCAGCTGCTCAGATATGACTTGGCTACTGGGCCACTTCTGGATACCACCAGAATAGAGCTTGGGGTTATGTGGCAGAAGAAAGAAGTGGTCACCCGCTGACTAGACCTCAGGTAGGCCAATCTGCTGAAAAAGATTTTGGAGGAAGTCAAACATCTCACACTTTACAACAGATGCCCAGAGTATGAACCCTCTGCTGATCTCATACACAAAATATGTGTGACTACATGTTACCTGTCTCTACGCCTGCAGGGCTTGGCCATTGGTTGCTGCTCAGCTCTGTCATGTGGAGAATCATTTTAAAAACAAGTGAATGGAGGTCATAAGGCTGCTGCAGTCCACTCGAGGACATGGAGAGCTATCATGGGAACACCACCGCTGCAACCCAGCATACTACTAAGTACTCACACACGATGATAACATCCCCAGAGAGAGGCCAGATGGCCTTCCTTTCCTCAATACTGGATACAACAGATTATACTGGTACAAGTTATTCCTGGGGAGACTCTCACTATCAACACTAAAGAATTCAGAATATTCAATGGGCTGCCTATGTGCCTCTCATGTCCCCGTCCTCTGCCACCTATATATCTACCTCTTGGTTATACATCATAGGTGGTAGAAGACAATGGGATCCATAAAATTCACATAGTGCCTCAGAAAATGTCATGTGTCCACACCATTTCAATGCAAGTACCACAGTTCATACTATCATTCTCCTATGTATCCATCCACATGCCCTGAACTGATGCATTCCTCAAATCAAGGAGAATTTCCCCCACCTTATGTCCCACAGCCTACACCACAGCAGCTGAGGCCACCACTACCCACAACATTTTTCTACCAGCAGAATAATGGTAGGATATGAATTTCCTAAATAGCACATAGATTTAGTTTAGTAAAATTACACATTTGGACAATTATTAAAATGTCAAAGGAGCAAAACAGTAACATTTCAAGGAATGTGGGGATTTCATACAGTCATGTGAGGATTCATGATAATCCTTGGGCCTAAGATTTTGTATTGTGCAAAATACAACTTTCTATATATCAGTGTGTTGTCTTTTGATATAGCAGTGTCAAAATTCACGACCTCAATAGCAATCAAGTGCTACAGACTGCACAGCATGATATTCCTATTAGAAACAACCATTTGATCAAAGCCCCAGTCTACAGTTATTGATGTATAATGACCAGTTGCTTGGATGAGACTCTCAAGTTTTGGGATGCCTGTTTATCAAATCCTATAATGATGCTGCACATCCTGAAGAGCTTTACTATACAGATGTGATACAGTATGATCATGGTAGCAACTGTGGAGACAGGCTGACTATCAGTAAGAGAACCAACCTTCTGAATTCACAGGGATCAAAATCTCCACTGAATTGCCAGCATTGGGGTGTGGCTATTTTAATAAACAAACAGAACAAGCCAACTGGTTTGGCCCTGGGAAGTATTTGCCCTGGGAAGAGTTGTTATTCATTGTATCAATCTTGCAAATCCAGCCAAAGATAACTGCATCTCTAAAGGTCATCTATCCAATGGAATCAACACTTTAGTGCCTCAAGTTCTCTATGGAGTAAATGGAATCTCAACCATCTTGGTTTTGGCACCCTTACAACTGGCGGACCTGTTTTGTCAATTCTGGGACAGAGATGCCAGAAGAAAACTAAAACCTTCAGGACAGCTCATTCATAGAGCAACTTGCTGACTCAATTACAATAGAAACAGACCTGCCTATCCTTGCAGCTAAGACTGGTCCAAGGGACATGAGTTTCTTAATCCCTCAAAGAAGGACTGCTTTTTCCTGCGTAAGGGAGCAGAAGAGCTATAGCTTAGAGGCCAGAGGCATCAGGATTGTCCAGAATTGTTCTCATCTCTCTGCACTCATGGGAGTTGTGTTATTGGATAGCTGTCATCCACAGAAATGGAGTCCAACCACTGGAGATAATGTCATTGTTCACCAATTAGTGACTCCTCCTCTCCATTGCATGCCTGCTACAGGGATTTGCTGAAATTCCAAGGAGACGAAATTACTATAAAAGTCAGATTCCTGTGGGCAATGCCAGAGACTGCACCATGCTTATTCAACAACGTGTACATTCAAGCTATTTGAAAGCAGTCTAGTGACCCTGGACCTTGTTATAAAATATTTGGGGATTAAAAGAAACAACAAAGTTTGAGCACAACCAGATCAAGTCAATTATAACTACCACCACCCCACCAAACCAACAACAAACAAAAACCACACAGGTCCCCAGCAGCCTACAGTGGAATCCTCATGCCCTGTAGCTGAGTTCTCAGGGCTCCCCATTTCTTTCACTCACTTTAACTCAGGGCAGAGCAACAGAACACACCCTCCCCAAGAACAGAGGGGATGAATCCCTCTCATTCTCTCCTTCATTAGGCTCCTGCAGTTTGGTCTGCTCCAACCATGTTGTAAAGGCTGATGCAAGCACACTAATCAGGCAGGAGAGGATCTAACTGCCTGTTCAGAGAAAAGGAAATTGTTAGAGGTACTCTAGTCTATTCAGAGGAACCAAGTGCAGATGAAGGCAAAATACTTTAGTCACCTAACCAGGACTTGCTCATGGAAAAGGGTCCTGTAAAGAACCAAGTAATATTTCCAGCTGAGGGGTAATCTGTCCTTGGGGCCACATCCCCTATACCCACCATCATGTTTCTGGGAGTCTGGTTGTCATAACGGGGAGCTTCAGAACTGTGGCCGTGGGAAGGAAACTTCCTGCTGGGGTTCTTTTTGTAGGTGTAAAAGGATGGGGTGACTGGATCACAAGTGGGTGGGGGTGTGTTAGGGTCTAGAGGACTAGTAAGAAGGAGGAGTTGGGGATAACATAGAGGCTGAGTAGGAACAGGTAGGATAACACAGGGCCATGAGCAGGTTAGGTACGATTAGGAACAGAGTCTTGAGGAGCTGGGTGTGGAGTGAATAAGATCAGGTGCTGGGGAGGGGTGTAATTTGTCAGGGATGGAAAAAGATGACAAAGTGAGGAGACCTGGAGGAGGGTAGATTAGAGGATTATAATTTGACGGGCCTGAGGCAGGGCAAGACTGAAGCGAGAGGTCATACGGAAGGTAAGAACAGTGTGGAAGATCAGGCTGGTGTGGGAGACAAATGGGCAGACAGGACATAGTCGTAGAAGGTTGAGGTGGCTATGGAGGAATGAGAGGGAGGAGGTGGAGGAAGAGGAGGGTGAGGCTAGGGAGAAGGACCTTAGCGAGGGTGGGGCGGGAAGGAAGAGCCTGAGGAGCGGTCAGGCTGGGATGGACGAGCAGGGGGGCGAGGCAAGCGTCGAGGTACAGAGCGCAGGTGAGCATGGTCAGGAGGGTGAGGAGGAGGAGCAGCACGGGGCTGAGATGGAGGATACGGAGGAGGGTGAGGCTGGAAGGACGGAGCAGAAAGACGGACAGGCTGGGGCGCAGCAACAAGAGGCTGGAGTGGAAGAAAAAGAGGAAATGACTGATAAGGAGAACGAAAATGAGGGTAAGACTTGGGAGGAGGGTCAGAAGGAGGGTGAGGCTGAGGCTGGGAGAGAGCAGCAGGAGGAGTGCGAGGCTTGGGTGCAGGATCAGAAGGCAGGCGAGCACAGAGCGGAGAAGCAGCAGGACGCCGAGAGCGGGCTGGGGGACCAGGAGGGTGAGGGTGCTGCACAGATGTAGTAGGAGGGTGGCGCCGACGGGAGGGGACAGAAGGAGGGTGGCGTTGCGGAGAGAGACTAGAGGAAAGCCGAAGATGGCGCCGAGAAGCAGCAGAACGTGGAGAGCGGGCTGGGGGACCAGGAGGAGGGTGAGGGCGGTGTATAGGGGCAATGAAAGGTTCGCGCCAAGTTGAACGGACTGAAGGAAGGTGGCGCTGTGGAGATAGGCTGGACGAGAGACGAGGTTTATGAAGGGCAGTGACAGGAAGGTGGTGTAGGTGTAAAAGGGTAGGAGAAGGGTGAGGGTGTTGAGAAAGAAGGGCTAGGAAGCGTTTGCGTAGATCACGGCCGCAGGGGAAAGGAAGGCAGAGAGGAACATCTGGGGGAGGTTTGGACTTGGGTTTACATGTAGGAGGGCGAGGCTTGTGCTTGGGAGCAGGGGGTGGGCGGGGTTTAGGTTTAGTGACAGAAGGGCATGGCTGGTGTTTCCTATGACAAGGGGGATGAGACTTGAGGGAGGAACTAGGAGCAGGAAGAGGGTTTTGTGGAAGCCCACGACGGGAAGCTGGAGGGGCAGGAGCAGGGCCAGGTTGGGGTGCAGGATCAGAAGGAGGGTGGGGCAAGTAAGGAGGAGCAGGAGGAGGGAAAGGCTCAAACACTGGTCCGGGAGGAGGGTCCGGGAGAGGAGAAGCAGAGTCAGATGTGGGCAGGGCACTAGGAGGAGGGTGAGATCCAGATGCAGGACCTGGGGCTTTGGTCTGGTGCGAAGGGACACGAGGGAAGGATGGATAGTTGGGATGGAGTAGAGGGTGCAGAGGAGGATAAGGCCAGTTCAGAAATGCAGGGTGGTAAGATTCAAATATAGATTTAGGGGGGTCAGTCTGGGGCGGAGGAATAGACAGGTGAAGCCAGGGTTCAGGATCAGCAGGGTCAGGCCAGAGGGAAGATACGGAATAAGGGGGAATATGGTCTTGGGAGGCAAAACTTTTTTTAGTCTTATCTGTCATTCTGTCCTGCGTCCAGAAGTCAGAATCAGCGACTGGTAGGTGTCCAGGACTACAGCTGCTTTTATAGGCCAGCCTGTGTCACAGGGTCCCTTATGACATCAACATGCCCTGCCCCTCTGGGCAGTGAGTAGCCCCGCCCATCAGGGAAATGGTGCCATGGGATAGATTCAAGAGTAATCAAGGGAAATAGGACAGAGAAGAAATGGATCTATATGACAGTCCTTCTAGGGGTAACATGTTCTTTGGCCTATCCCTAGGCAGAGTGACCAAAGGCCATGGATACATTCTAATGAGAATGTTGGCACCTAGAACTGAGGTGTGATGTACAAATTGGGAGATGTGGGAAGATATCAGTTCCCCAGTTCAGCTAACTCATTTTCTTTTTCTTTCCTTTTTATTACTTTTTTTAAGATTTTATTTATTTGACAGGCAGAGTTAGAGAGAGGTACAGACAGAGAGTGAG